ATCGACACTGACTAGGAATCGTTCCACATTGAAGGGGTCTTCCACGATGCAGGTACACAATTAAGGCACCCGGGTTATCCGCGCCATCTCTGCCGCGTCTCTCTACAAAACCAGTAACGTCATCACACACACCCAACACCTGTATTCAGGAAAAGACGGAGAAATAATTGACAACTCGAGAGATGTTTGTCCGTGCGCCACGGTTCGATGCCGTCCGCCTGCTCCGGTGCCGCTGCTCCGGTGCCGCTGTGGCCAGCCCTAGCACGACCAAACTCGACCCGCTCCGCTTCGTACACGCTCTCGTGCTGTCCATCCCAGTCGGTTCCTCGCTTTCTCCCTCGTTGCACGTAGGGTTCTTGGTCTAAAAATTCTCGCGCCGAAGGGTCAACCAGCCCAATCAGCTCGTCACCACCAGTCCCCTCCTCCTTTGATGGCAAAACCAGGTTACTGAGACACTACAGCTCCCTCTAGCAAACCTAGGGCCGTGTACATAGTGCCCGTCCACCTTTCTGATGACGTCTGCCTCCGCGCACAAAGATGAGATGGGCATTGCTGCCTACACCGACGGCCTGGAGGCCCGCGCATCTGCACCTTCGTACCTGACGCACCAGTGCCGACCCAACTCCACCACTACGCACGCCTCGCGGCGGGTGCGCCGCAGCAAGAAGGTATCGGTCCCTTGAGGGTGAGTCTAGCCTTGCTCGCTAGAAAGACCCCCCCCCTAAGCTGTTGAACGATAGGATAGTGGGAGTATTGGAGAAGGAACATAGCATTAGTGAGGGCCAGGCAGGTTTCCGCAAGAAGAGGGGGTGCGTAGACCACGTGTTCACGGTAGGGAGAATCATCCAAGGTAGAAAGAGGGCGGGAAAGCCGACGTACTGCTTCTTCCTGGACGTGAAAAAGGCATACGACACCGTATGGAGAAATGGGTTGTGGAAACAACTGTCCAAATACGGGATCAAGGGGAAAATGTGGAGAGTGCTGAAGAAGATGACAGAGTGCACGAAAAGCGCGGTCATGCTAGACGGAGAACTGTCAAAATTCTTCGACATTGAGCAGGGGGTCCCACAAGGTTGCACGCTGTCCCCAACATTGTTCCAGGTGTTCATTAGCGATCTGTTGAAAGTCGTAGAGGCAGTCCGGAAGGGAGTAAAAGT